GAAACCAAGAAACCACGGCAAAGCTTCTCAAAAATCAAGGTGACGCTCTTATTGTCTTTTTCGATATTCGTGGTTTGGTGAATCATGAATTTCTTCCGGAGGGACAGACGCCCAATAAGGAGTTATATTTGGCCGCATTGAGGCGTTTGCATAAGAATCATGGATTCTACACGATGATAATGCACCATCGCCTCGAGCCACGATTGTGACTGAATTTAAAGCCAAAAACGCAATCAAAACCTTCGATCAACCAGCGAACCAGGTTTGGCTGCGGGTGATTATTTCTTGTTCCACAAACTGAAATTGCCGTGCAACCTGTTTTTAGTCGATCGAAGAGGTAAAATGAATTTCGCTGAAGGAGCTGAAGGAAAAGACTCAAAATTTTCAGAAAATCGAGCATTAATTATCAATTTCCAACAATTGATGTAAATCTAAAAATGTATGTAGTTTACTATCAAGTCTTAGATAGCTTATGATCACATTTTCATTCCAAATATTGGTCCAATAACCGCCATTTTGCAACAAACTATACACACAAACAGTTTTTCAACACTGAAATGTATATCGTTAGAGAAGGAAGTGGATTCTCCTACCTCCTAGATTAAATTGTCAAGGCTACTTTTGGGTTCTAGCCGGGCCTAACACCTTAGTGTTACATACAAATTAAAGTATAAATTTGATTATGCCTATTTTCGAAAATTATTGAAGGTAATAAATAATAGTTAGTACCCTCAAAACAGTATTTTACTGCGCATTAGGAACTAAAACTGACAATTTTTTAAGTAATTTTAAAACTTAAATTCCTTCTTTTGCCACTTAAATTGTAAAATTTTTAACGCCAAACTACGCACTAGCTACCTCTATGAAACTGAATGAATTTTCCTCGCACACACTCTTTGACGCCTACCAATGTTTCTGATATGCCCACACACTACATAAAATGCGTCCGCGATTGCAGCATTTCATAGACTGTGCAGCCACTGTGACATCTATCAATGTCATCAATTGTGTCTATAGTATGTCTGTGCCGCGCTGTGGCATTGCGGCTGCTGTGCGCTGTGGTTAAGTGCGTGCGCGCGTCAGTCCATGCATGGTCGCACGGCTATGTGCGTGTGTGTGTGTGAGAGAGCGCGCGACCGCCAATATTGCAAATATCAATGAGTGGTGCATGGCGCATACATATTTATCCACAACTAGTTGCATACACCGCCTGCGTTTGCAGCAGCCACGCGGCGCAATCATAAAAATCTAGCAGCAGCTAGAGTTACGACAGCCTGCTCGTATTACGAAAAACTCAAACCAAAAGTAAACAAAAAATTTCTTCAATGTTCGTTTATTGTTGTTGTTGTTGTGGTGACCTTCGGCAAACATCAAATGTGATAAGAACTAGCGGCGACAACGGCAGCGCGCTGGTGAAAAAAGACAGTTGGCGTTTTCATTCAGGGTCAGCGCAAGCCGCAAAGGCCCCTTTGAGGTGGTGCACCAAGTTGAAGTTGGGCCGCGCGTCGAGAGGGCGCAACTGCTATTTATATGCATGAATACGTAGGCTGTTGTTCGCTTGTCATGCAGCAACTGTGTGGCGGACGACTGCAATTGCAATAAATTTTTATTTCATAACATTTTCACTGCTTTATTTTCATGCTCTAATGCTGCAACTATCATTGCCACTGTCACTGCCGCGGCCACTGCTGAGCGCTCACGGTGCACATTTATCCTTAGCATGCATTTGTTGTTGTTGCTTACACGTAAATGGCACAAGGTTAGCCAGAAACGGCTTGCGCCTTCCGCCACACAACCCGCCGCGCGTTGATTGCTCAGCTATTACTATTTGTTTTTGTTACTATAATATTTGTTTTTGTTGTTATTCTATTAGCCGCACAACTAGTTTGTTTGTGAATATGAGAGTTTTTCATTTTTAGTGCAATCGCATTGTTGCGCGCCTCAGCGCCGCTGCATTCATGCACTTGTTCTAGCATGCGCGCTCACACTCACTCATGCGCTCACTGGCTAGCGCGCGCGCTCGCTCACTCAGAATCGTAATTGGAACATGACGCATTCAATTTAGGTCAAGTGCAATGCGGCGCTTCTAATATTGGAGATTGAACACAAGGATGCATTGTAACGGAGGCCATTCAGTATTTTGTATGCACACACATGCGCCTGTTATTGCACATTCATCATACTAAACTTTCAGACATGCCAGCGCATAAAACAAATGAGCATTTAAAAATATCAAATTCAGCAGCAGAAGAACGCGCTGTACCGCAACTCGTCGCGCCTAGTGGGGTTCGGCCGCTACGTCGGTGCGCTTTGCGGCGTTGACGCGCTGGGGCGTGCGGTGGGTTGGCTTAGCTAGCTTTCGCTTTCGTATGCACACTGCTGCTATTCTGTCGTTGCCGTCGTCGGCGCTGTCACTGTGTCTTTCTCGGCGGCGACAACGCCGCCAATGCAGCGCATTGCAACTATGAAGCAGTTGCATTTATTGCCTCCGCCGCCTGACATTGACACACTTTGGACGCGTCGCCGCAAAATAAGCGCTTACAAGCGCAATTGCATACACTCAACTACAAATGCATAACTGCTTGCAGCGCCAAAAAGCAAACATGCTTTCGTCGGCATCTTCGCCGCGGCCGCCGTCGCTGTCGTTGGCGACACCTGAAAATGGGTCAAAGTCAACGCTAACAAATCGTATAGACGCGCTACGAGGCCGTCACTAAGTAGAATTGGGCCAGCACGCCACAGCGCTCTAACGCTCATACAAAAACAACAAGACAGCAAACATTTTACAAGTGCATTCGTTGCAAGGTCCGCGCGCGTATATTATTATTGGATAAATGCATAGAATTTGAAACCAAAACATAATACGCAGCAGCAGCGACAGCATACACTCGTCGTTGACCTTGTCTAGCAAGCAGAATTCGTTGTTGTTGTTTATTTACGTTAGCAAAAGGAAAGGTCAGCTTTTAAAGCATTCCAAGGAGAAAAGGCTTTAAATTCTTGTTTCGAATTGGGTCAAAGAAATTAAAGTGCACGTTTGAAGGTGCTGTTAGAGCGAAAATACCACAAGAAAATGCACCAATAAATCGTTATATTTAATGTATAAAAATTATATATATGGTAGATGGTTAAAATTATAGACGCGAAAAGTTTTAGAATTCTTAATTTTTATTACTTCTGGCAATCAATAAAATAATTAAATGGTTTCTTCAAACAAAATCATGCAGGAGGAGTTTTTTACAGAGTATTTTTACACTTTCTGGTTATGTGTGTACATTTCTGGTATGTACAGTCCAAAATCACATTTAATTATGGTAAGAAAAATTTCTTATTATGAAAAATCATTCCACGTTCAATGCTAAAGGCAATTTATTTCTCTGGCGAGACTAATATGACCATCGGAAAAGTAGAGATTTCGTAAAACCCTAGAAAAAGTAAAAAACAGCTGTTGGAAAATCCGAAAGCTTGGGAAGAGTTATAAGAACCTCACTTAGGTTTTGGATTTCATAGTAACAAATGCAACTCTGTACCAGACAACTAAGCGTCAATGCTAGGACATATCGGTATTTAACGTCAATATTTTGCCGTTTCACCGTTTTTACAGTACTCACCGTCTTTCTAAAATATTTGAAAAGGAACTCCTTTCCTTCACGAAAATAATATAATACCAACTCACCAATTCGGGTTTCGTGCAAAACATATCACGAGTGAGCAAGTTAATAGAATTACTAACTAAATAAGGAAAGCATTCGAGCACAGAGAGGACTGTTCAGCTGTTGAAGGATGATCTCAAGTTAAAAAAATTAAATTTTTCATATATGGATAAGAGAGTTCATACACTATCCCAAAACATAAGGTGTTGTTTTTTTTAAACAATATATTTCAGGGTGTATTTTCACTGAAGAAAAATTCCTAACAAACCTAGTACTTTTTTTAGAACATACACAAATTTGAAGATTTGCATACTTTTTGTTAAGAGATTCCTGAATATTAGATATTTTTAATCTTTAACTTTAAAAACTCACTTGAAAAAAATATTATTCTTTAATTAGTAATTTAATTAATTGTTTTTATTAAATAACACTTTCTCCGCTTAATATTTCCGAAACGTTAATTAGTGTTAGTCGAATTGTTGTTTTATTTTCATAAATATTTAAGTGAATATTATTGTAAATGTTGTTACCGCACATGTTTGTTTAGATTCAATTTATAATTTTTAAGTACTTCATTTAAGTTTTCCTTATTATGCATATTTTAGTTTAATATAATTTTATTTTAACTCGCTTGCAAAATAAAATGTATCTATTTTTCGTAATAACTTTTTTATTTAATGTATTTATCACTTTATATTGATATTTTAAAGTTTTTATTTATATCTATAATATCTTTGAAAAATAGATACTTTCAAATGAAACAAATTCACTTTCCGAAGCTGCTCCATTTTCGATTTATTTTTTGATTGAACCATATATGAATATTTTAGATTATTATTTGATTTATTTTAATAGGTGCATAAAATAGAAATTTTATTCGTATTTGTGTGTGTGTGTTTTTTTTTTGCCGACATATCTTTTAGATTGTTTTTGTAATTTTTGTGACGCCTAAAACGTCATTCTTTTAACATTACTGAACTATTTTTTTGTATACATTATTTTTATTTTTAACAGTTTTGTAAAATAAAAAACTATTAAACTTTTAGTTTTTATTTTTATTTAATAAGCTTTTTTTAATTGTTTCGCATTTTTATTGGCTTTAAAATATTTTTAACGCGTTTTTTTAACCTTCAGTATTTGTTGCGCATTTCACCACATTTCAAATAACAAATTAAATAATTATCATTCTTTTGATATTTTGCAATTTTCTGCTATATTTCACTTTAAGACTCTTTTATTATTTTTTAGCTAAAAAATCACTGAAAACCAACAGAATATTGCCAACATAGTTCTTCCCAACAAAATGAGTTCGAATTGTTTAGTTAATATTAATCAAAGTGCAGTACTCACCGAAACTGGCTTCGCTAATCTCCTGATCGTCTAGCAGATCATCCATGGAGGATAAAGAATCACAATCAACGCTCGACGAGTTCAGCAGTTGTTGCTGCTGCTGTTGTTGTGGTTGTGATTGTTGTTGTGCCGATTCTTTTAGCAGATCTATGGAACTTGGTGACATTGTAGTACTGCCAACAGTCTTATTGTTGTTGTTGGTATTATTTAGATTTATGTTGACACTACTACTATTGCTATTGCAGCTGCCTTCGGGAACACATGTGGATACAATTACTGCACCAGGCCGTTGAGGGGGTGAATTGGCCAAGGTCACCTCCTCAACACTTTGCAACACCGTTGCCCGGTTTTGGCTCATTGTTGCAATACTGTTTATAGTTTGTACATTGTTGCTACAACTATTGTTGTTGTTGTTGTTGTTACTGCACCTGTTATTGTTGCTGTTGCTGCTACTAGTAGCACTACCGTTCACAACAACAATACCAGTGCTATTATCATTACCATTACCAATACCATTATTACTGGTGCTAGTATTCTGGATGTGATTGTTGTTGCTAATGAAATTATTTATGCCGTGTGTGGTGACTTTACTGTTGGCAGTGTCTGTGGCTATAATTGTGGACGTTGTTGCTGTTGTTGTTGTGATCTGGTTATCTGTTAGGTGGTTGTGATGATTACTATTGACCTGATTATTAACTACCGTAACATTGAAATTATTTCCAGCATTCGTAGTCAAATAGTCGCTGCCTGCTGACGCAACACCGGGGCTGCCAAGAGCTTCTGCTGGCTGTGGCTGCAACTGCTGTTGGTGTTGTTGTGGCTGCTGCTGCTGACGATTTGCAGTTGCACGGCCATTTCGGCTGTTGGCATGTCCTCTCGCCCCACGACCGCCTCTGTTGCTCCTACTTCTACCACCCCCACCAGCAACGGTCACACCCCCGACCGTCGTACTGTACGGCATGGCAGTCATCGCACTGGAATTGGGCACACTCACCGCTATCGCTGGCGCAACAGCCGTAGTGCCAGTAGTCGGCGCAGTTGCAGCCACAGCCGTGACCGTGACTGTGGCCTTTGGAAATTTATGCTCAACACCGCTGTTGTTGTTGTTGTTGTTGGTATTATTATTGTTGAGTTTCAGGGGTAAGTAGTGCGTCACGTGGGTCACCTGCGCGGCGTCGCTGCGCGGCATATCCTTCGCCTCTATAACTATATCGTCCTTGGCATATAAAATATTTGAAAAGGTCGCCTCAACGCCATGGCCATCGTTAATCAAATCGTTTGTGGCGATGCTTTTCGCTGGCACCAACACATGATTAGCCTCGATATTGATGAGTGAGATATTCTTAAAACTACTATCCGCCGTCGGTGAGTTGGGGAATTTCAGGTCACAAAGGCTACCCAGCGACACAGCATCGATATTGGCTGCGTCAACTGTGCGCTGATCGAGCAGCGCTGATTGTTGTATGCAATTGGTGAAGGTGGCAAAGTCGCTGCTGGTCGTCTTCAGATTTCCCGTCAGTTGATGGCTAATAGTTTTATGGCTGCCGGGCAGTTCGTAGATGAAGGGTGTGGCTGGGACACTGCCAGCGCTAAGCATTTGATCTTTGTGATGATGTGTATGTGTTTGTATATTGTTGTTATTATTACTACTATAGCCGCTATCGGATAACATTGGAACGTTGTAACCGTCCATTGCAGGACGAAGCGCTTGAAACACTTATATTGAATTTATAAAACTTAGGTTTGTTGTTACATGTAAATTTGTTAGGTCGCAGGTACATACAAGTTCTGCAAGAAGAAAGGTAAGAAAATCGGTGGTGAGCACTGTGACACTATTATTTAGTAAATTTTATTCAAAAATATTAAATTGCAAGCAACTCTAGGTTAGGTTTGTTGAACTAACTCCAAGCCTACTGTGAAAGCGTTCTAATTGTACTAACCAAATATATGAAGTACAAATAAACCAAGCATTTTAACATCGCAACACATCTCGAACCCCCACCATCGCACCAGAAAATAATGCATTCGTTCCAAGAAAATCGGAGTTAAATCACCGAATTGGATCCTTTGGTTCAATCTATTCAAGGTCTGTTATCTTAGCTGATACGATATTTTAGCAAATTAAACTCATCGAGACTGTACCTTGACTTACATAGAATAATGTCCTACACGTAAAAGGTCCTTACATAACACTTAACATCTTTTCGCATATTCAGTAAAACCTACTCAACTAACACCCCTCTCGGTACAGTCCGACCACGATGAAATAGCTCTTTCCTGAACCTACCAATGTTACCTTCCTTCATACAGGGCTGCAGAGAGCCATTAAAACAACAAAAGGTAAAGACTAAGCATCGTGTCATTACTTCATAAATAATGATGATAAGTTATCGGAGTTAATACTAAAAAATATTGAATTTACAAACAAGTTTGTATAACTTTTTAAATATTCGTGGGTTAGATGGGCCTGTGAAAATAGTAACAACACTCGAAAAAAATATCAATGAAAAATCGGATAGCCATTGATACCAAATCCCTTTGTTTGCTAATAAATCAAGAATGTAGGAAAATGTGTTTAGGCAATCAATACAAGATCGCAAACCTGTACGTACCGCAATTTTCTCGATAAGGAAATTATTGTCTTCTCGTAGATCTTTTTCCGCCTACATGAAGAAGTGGATAAAATTGCGGTAAAAAGAATTGAATTCAAAAGAAACTTTTGACAGCGTTAGCTGTTGAATGAAGTTTGATTTAAATCTGTCAATTCATTCGTTGTTTACAATCCATTTAGTGTCACCAGAAATCATTGCCAAAATACAGGATATGGTTTTGGAAGATCGTCGATTGTTTGAGAGAGATTTAGTAGCGGCTCTACACATCTCATTAGGCAGGCATGTGAGCCATAGTACAATTTTTTTTTTAGAAAGCTGTGTGCACACAATGGGTGCCGCATTCGGTAACAATGGAACAAAAACACATTCAAATGCGAATTTTCCAGCAGCATTTGGAACGTTTTAAAAAGGATAAAGTGGATTTTGTGCGTCAATTCATCACTATGGATGAGACATGGGTCCATCACCATGATATTGAATCAAAACAAGAGGCTAAATAGTTGTTTGAACCTGGTTGTTCGGCTTGGAAACAAGTTCATGTCCAGAAATCGGCCCAGAAGCTTATGGCATCCGTTTTTTGGGATGCAAGAGGAATTGCTTGTAAACTGGTCAAAAAATTAATTCTGAATATTATTGCAACCTTTGAACCAGTTAAAAGAAAAAAATTGTGAAAAAAGACCCGGTTTGCAGAAGAAAAAAGTCCTTTTTCATCAGGACAACGCGCCGTGTCACAAGAGTATTTTGACAATGACTAAACTCCACACATTAAAGTTCGAATTGTTGGAGCATCCAACGTATTCACCAGAGTTCCATGTGTTTTCAGAACTCAAAAAATTTATCAAACTTATTGAACAACCTGGTACAAATAAAACAACAATTTTCGGAATGAGGGAAAAACGAGCCGAAACCAAAACAAAAAAAAAAAAAAGATTTGTGTTTCGATATTCGTAGGTGGGTGCATCATGAATTTGTTTCGGAGGAACAGACGGTCAATAAAGAGTTCTAGTTGGCCAAACTGATGCGTGTGCGTGAAAACATCCGTCGAAAACGTCCGGATTTGTGGAAGAACAATTCATGGATTTTACACGATGATAATGCACCGTCACATGTTTGTTATATCAGGTGGGGATTACTTTGAATACCACAAAATAAATATTAATGAATAATTTTATTTACAATATCCCGGTACCTTTTTATCACAGCGAAAGTAAATCTTCGAATGAGATGTTTCTGTCTTGTTATTATTATAGTCAAGTCTTAGATATCCATAAATTTATTATTGGTATTTCAAATCGTACACAACAAATTCGTTCCTCGCAACATCAACAAAGCTAATTTAATACATACATATGCGATGAGAGCTTTTGTATTTGAGCTCTTATTCAAAAACATTAAAGTTATAAATAAGAAGATAGTTAATAATAGGGACTCCACCTTTTCAACCTTTCTTAGTAAGTTTCATCAGCTATCTAACCGTGCATACATTTCAATTTCAATCCTTATATGCACATTTCTTTCTTTCACCGCCTGGAGTTTTGGGAATCCGTTATGGAAGTTAGATCATGGAACAGCGATTATGTGAAAATAATGATGTAATACCAAGGGTGGTAATAGTTACTAGCTCCTATCTAAGTTATACATCTTTGTAAAACTTTACATAGCAAAACATTAGTCGCTGGCTTGCCTTTTGTGCCCCTAGATGGTCTAACGAAATTACTGCCTTTTACGGAAACTGCAGGATATGATTTCTAATAATCTTTGGTTGATAGTAAAGAAGGAATTTCTAGTCAAAGTCTAGTCTTTGAAGATTATGTTTTTGAGAGCTTGTGTATTGCCGAAATTGTTTTCGTTTACAAAATCCATGCTCATGTGAATTCTCATTTAATATATTTTGAGAGTGTGCTGAGGCAAATTGACGACTTTGACAACCATGATAGATTACGAGTATTAATATGCTGATCCTATGTCCAGCATGTAACTAATAATAAGTAGCAAAAAAAGTAAGGAAGAGCTAAATTCTGGTATCACCTAAATTTTATACCCTTGCAACTTGGATCAAAGGAATCGTGAATGAACTTTGATCAAATTTCTATTCTTTCAAGTTATATTATAGGTCATATGCTATATTATATTATTATTATTATTAGTTTTATAATTATATTTTGCTTGCCGTCAACGAAGTATGTTAAAATCATCCTCAAACGAAATATTTATATCGGATATAATCTTAACCCAAGGAGCTAAATTTAATATATTGAATGGGTGATCTAAGATATCTTACATATTTACCGATATATGACGTATAAAGCCAACCGGAAGTTAGAAAACCTGATGTTAGGTACATATCTAAAAGAGTTTGACATTGCCGCATATTATTAACATTCTTGTGCTGTCTGAGTACCATTAATGTACCTCACATATCACCACCAATCATATGGAGTAATGTCAGCCAGATGCTTTAAAATCCTAATATCTGTTGTATAAGGCTAGGGCAAGCTCTCGCCCGATTTTAGCTATTTTATACGAGCACATTGTTATTAGAAAAACACGCTCTTTCAATTTCGTTAAGAAAACTCAGTTATTGACCGATATTTGCGGTTAACGTCAACCGTTATTTATCCGGATCATGTTCCTTTTGGCACACGGCCCAATTGTTATCAGATAAGTATTCTCCCTGAGGCGAATTGTTATCAGATAAGTATTCTCCCTGAGTTCCTATAATATATCAAATATTTTCGATAAAAAGTTCGCAAAAGCAGTTGGAGTGGATATATTCGGTTTTGCTTGATTCTTATCCATTTACTTGTAGGCGTGGTTGCAGTTCAATTTCGGCCATTTTCACAATGTTTGATCGGAATGTCTGGGTAACCTTATATTCCAAAATGGTAAAGTAGTTAACGAGATGTAGAACTTTCCTAAACAAGGACGTCGCCACACCCATTGTCCAATTTTAACACCGAATCCACTGTGGCCCTTCTATATCATATAGAATGTGAAACTTTTTAGTAATTGTCAACGTTTTGTTGGATAACCACATCCGACTTAACCCATTACTCAATGTCGGAGGAGGTGTGAGATATATATTCTGAGTGAATTTTTCTTATAAAGCTTTAGTGATTTAGGTATGTAGTCCTTTGTGTAACCATAGAAAAGAATAACACCTTTGCTCGAATTTATAAATTTGAAATACGCATAATAGCCAATACAAATTTGCATAAGCGCTTAATTTCCACTACCACCAGTTCGGTGTGATATTTAAAGGTATGCGCTCCCAAGTGTCTAAGTCTTGACCTCCCAAACGCGGGATAGTCCAGCAGGAACTGTTGAGTTCTTCTTCCATACAGCTTAGAAGTCAGCTTAGAAGTCATCTAGCAATATTCTCAACCTTACAGTATAGCAATTGCCCTATTGGCTTGTTAGAAGTCCCATAACGAGTGAGAAGCTCGCCTTATTGAGGGCAAAAAGATCACTACATCTCATGTAATCGATCTTTGGCCAAAAGGCGACAGCACATGTACGGATGGGGGCCCAGCGCTGCTGAAATTTCCGCAAAACGCAGCTATCTAGTAGTATAGCACAATATGATACTGGAGCTTAGATAATGGATGTACATGAATCCCACGCTACCAATAAGCTGTATTGTAAGGAACATACCCGAACAGAGTGGATTTCCCATAGCATTTGCAACTATTTATTCACAATCTTCACATAAGTTGTCTTAGTCGTCATTCCTTTGAAAAATCCTCACTATATCCTAAAAAATTTACGATAGCTATGCGATTTCGGTCTCATCATTATAAAAGCACCTTCAATATGAATATGTAGCGAATTGATAATCTCATTTCGCGGAGTCTCTTGAAGAACATTTTGTCCGCTGTAAAAGCGAATGTCGTACAAGGGTTAAAACCCGCTTTATTGAAAATTCGCTAACGAGTCAAGCAAACAAGGCGCTTACCTAATAATGCGAGTTTCACTAAAAAAGCACTAGCTGACGGTTGTGTTGTTGCTGTCGGCACTGTCTTCGCTTTCAATATCGGCTGCACATGCGTTCTACACATTACTGCTTGCGCCGTTTATGGCGATTTTAGCACAGCAAAAGCTGTTGTACACAATAAACAACAACAACAACCCCAAACGAATAGCAACTTCAAATAGAATGCAATAACAATGAAGATGTTGCGGTGGAAAAAGACGAAGCGGAAGCCGAACAAAAAGAAGCAGGGCTACTAAAATCCAGTTGAGACCGAAAGCAAAAGTGCTCGGCAAGTTGTTGTTTTCTACTTGTTGTTTTCACACTTTTCTACACACAAAGCGACAGATGAACACAGCGGCAATGCATACGCTTCGGTAGTTGTGTATGTGTAAGTGTGAGTGGATGTATTGCATAAATACGAGTCCGAACGACGCGAATAAGGTGGGAAACGGATGGACAGAAAATTTCGCAAGAATAACACAATGAGAATCTGTATATGAAGTCAATAGGAATTATGTTGAGGAGGAAACAGGAATGCGCACACACACAGGGGTAAAGGCAAAACACCATAACGCTGTTGGTGTTATGGGAACAATTGCTGATTTGTTGGATTTGTTGTTATTATAGTTTTATTGGTTTTTATATTGTTGTTGCTGTTATTGTAATTACTTTTTGTTACTGTTGCTGTTGCTGTTACTGATTGTAATTGGCACAACGATGGAGGGCTGCGCGAACACAGCAACAGTGCAAAATCTACGATAAACTTGCGCAAAGTAAAAGTAGAAGTGCTCACACACACACACATACACATGCATGTAGCTACAAAAAGCCAAATAAATAATAATAATTACCGTGCCAAACGAGTAGCAAAATAATTGTTGAATAAACAGTGGTGAGCAAGATCGAAATAAAAGCATGCGATGCGAGTTCTATGTAGCTTAAGCATACACAATATATAACATTTAGATGGTTGTATACTCGTATATGTAGAGCGCTGTTATAGTAAGGGCAGTGAATGATGACGACTGCCGTGCTGCCGCTTAGTAAATACGTAAGGTGCCGCCGTCAATGGGGCGCACGGGAGCGGGGGCCAGACGTTATTTCACATAGATTGCGCGACTACCGGCAACAACAACAAACGTGAAACAGGCAAATACACGTACACACATAATTGCTTCTCTACTACAAGTTGCGCTACTGCTAATTCTACTTCCACTTTCAGCTTCGCGCGCACACACACACGCACACACTTACGCGTCAAACGCGCCGTCTCGCTCACACACACTGACTAGCTAACTAACTGGCTGCTAGCTTTTGCAATGCTTACGGTTTGCGCATATATGCATGTGCTTAGTGGATTTTAGTATTGTGCGCCCGCTGCCCGCCACCGTTCCCACCGATCCCACCGCTCGTATTCACTTATTGGCAACCACAATGTTTATTTGCTTTGCTTTGCTTTACGCTTCGTTCTATTCAAGCAACAGTTTCCGCCTGTGCGCTGGCTGGCTGCAAAAGCTCGCCGTGCGTTTGTCAGTATGTATGTAGCGCAGTCGGTGTATGTACCATAGTGGTAGTGATTTTTAGTGTGTATGTATGGGCTTGTATTTCCGCACTAACCCCTCTATTTTCCAATACACATTTGTTCGTACGTGTGCATGTTGCCTCCGCTGCTTTTTCGTCTGCTTCGTCTTCGGCTGCGTAACGTTCTTTATGCAAAGCAGCCTAGCGATATACACGGACACGGACGTGCTGGTAATGCGTACACCTCTTCCTCTTCCTTATAATCTTTCCGCACTACTATGGCTATACATTGTGCTACAGCATCTAGCAGGGCTAATACCAGCATACAAAGCAGCCAACCTACCAGCCAAGTTGTTGTTTCTTCCTTTCACTTGAACCGCGTTCTGTTGGCCACACCATTGTGCTGCTGCGTCGCACTATAAAACACTACCAAGCGTGCTGGTTACTTGGGTTCACCTTACCGACTGTCTGCCTGCAGGAATACAGCGCAATCACATCTGTTCTTCTAGCTGTATACACTGTCTTCTCATATAGCGTACATATGCATGTGTGTTTGTAAGTACCGCACATGAACTTGCACTAATTTTCACACACTCATGCCTGGATTGAAGCTCTCTTGCACATCTAATACGATCTTATACACTTTACACCGTTTTCTAATCTAAATTATGCACATTTTTTTCACATGCGGTACACCGCGGCGGATGAATATCACGAGCGCACTGTACACTGGCCGCTTTGGTTACCGCTTTGCTACGTGCGTTATGCGTTTATTTTCGCTTTACTTTAGCGATTTATTAGCACACAATTACTAGGAACACTAATCCCGCAGCGCTGCGAAAGCTCCAGAATGGCATTGCAAATTGCAGTCCAATTCAAAAAATATCTTGCAGCTGTAGCAGCAGCGGTCACAACTAGTTATCGGCTCGTCGTCCGACGTCGCCCCCCGTCTGAGCTTCGTATATACACAGCTGCAAGCACACACAGCGCGATGTATGGACATATGTATGTACTTACATATGGTATGTCAGCGCTTGGAAGCACAGAATGCGTTTGTGGCTGTGGGAGGGGTACATACATACATATAGTTGTATGTATATGGGAGCTATGATACAATAACAACAATGCACATTATTCGCAACACCAACTACTTGCCATGCACATACACACACACTCAAACATATGTAGCGCGCACTTCGCGGTTGCTCCCGAACGCGTACGCGATAATTCCTTACTAACACACTCCGCCGCACTCCGCCACCTAAGCACCAGGCATTTCAACTTCACTGCTTCAATTTGTGTACTTTTTTTGATATAAGTGGAAGCAGCAAAAAAAAGTTCGCTACAATTGTGCAATTCGCACAATTCACACTAATGAAGTGACGAAGAAAACGATTTCCTACTTTTTTATTGCGTATTTTGTATTGTATGCGCTCATCGAATTGTCGCCTCACATTGCGTAGCACTTGTTTATTAGTTTATTTAAATAGTTCACTTTAATTTCAACGCGATTTTTCGGTATTTAATTGGGTTTGTTTTGGCTGCAGACAGAAAATTAGGTCTGTAGGCCAAATTCGCACTCTCAATCTCGACTGACACGAATGCGAACGGAACGGGAACACAGGCGAACGCAAACGTTGCAGCGAACATACGGGCACGGGCACGAAACGGGCGACAGCGCACAATGTGCGATAGGCGATAGAAGACAGAGTACAGAAGACAGGGCATAAAAACACCAACAACGGCAGCGACACAGAAACACAGTGACAGAACGAGAATATACAGCACACATACTCATGTTATACTAAAAATAAAAATATAGGCAAAAATATTCATACACACATACGACAAGAACAAGAAGGAAATAATATAAAACGACCACTAAGTCAGTCGCACTGTCAATGAGGATATGGTTGTGATTGTCTCTGTTGCTGTGATGGAGCGCCGTTTGGCTGTTATGCTGGTAAGCTATCGCACTGTGTGGTTGATGGAGTCGCGGAGTGCGCGCAGCGTAAATGTTCTGGATGCACGAAAATCAACGTAAAGTGGAAAGTGTAAAAACTAAGTAAAGTTTTGCACGTTCTTTTGTGCTTATTCCATGTATGACACGCAAACACACACGCACAGCTACTAAGGCACAACCACTTTGATTTTTTCGAACAGCTGCCGTTGTGAACGCGCCGCGGACGAGGCGAGTTTGGTTCGTTACTTGCACTTGGCCTTAAAAAATCATTTGAAGAACAAGGACGGCAGCAGCCGTGTGCGCGTTAATCAAGCATCAGCAGCAACAATCAACGTTAAAAGTTTTGGCGGAAGCTTTTGCGAAAGCTTTTTTGCAATAGCTAGTCGCGGCAAAAGCGCGTTATTTCAAGTTTTTGTTATTGACATTCAAATAGAGGCGTATAAGCTTTTCTCTTCAGTGTGCCCTTCGTTTGTATGTATGCGTGCCAAAGAAAACAGAAGCAAAAGGAAGAATTCAAATAGCTGAAAGTGGTATGAGCCGTGATGCGAAACTTCCGTTTCCGCGTTTCCGACTTCAAATGAAATAGTATGGCCGAGAGCGGATATACAGTTAATTAACGCATAAATTTTAGCATCAGGCGCATGTACACTGACACACAAAATACAGGTTCTACGCTCCGACAAACATATATTTTATAAAGCGGTAATAAATCGTTTACGACTAAAGGCGACCATTCATTGGCCGCTTTTGTATTACGTAGACCCGGCCGTGGCACCACGAACCAAAGGCCGAGAATTTTTCAAAAACTTTATAAAGAAATAATTGCTGTTTGATTAAAACACAGAGAAGCAAACCACTTGTGTGTCCATATTTAAAAACAATTAAATAAATGGCATAGTAGAGAATAATTTTGATACTTGCTTTCAAATTTCATATACTGTATTTTTATATGATATGAATTATTGTTATATTTGTTATTGCAAATTTATTAATCTCTGTTTTAATTAAGAATACATTTCTAAAAAAAAACTGCACCGCAAATATATAGCGGTACGGCAACATTGTTTGTTACAAACAGCAGCGCCATCTGACGATACGTTCTCTGTGATTACTCCACCTGTTTGCAATCTTCTACGGCGAATTTGGCCAAACCTAAGCGAATATGTAAAAATTGAAAACATCAAAATAATTCTTGTTTCCTCACATTTGCGGATAAATTAATTGTGTTGTCTGGTTTTTGTCGGAAACAAAATACGTTGTGTTGTAGTGGACGAGCAGTGAAACTAAGCAAAGAATAGTAAAAGTAATAAGTAAACGTGTAAAAATTAAAACAACATTGTGTAAAACGTTTTCGCAATTGGTTAGCAATAAATAAAGTGAAAAGTTGCACATTATTTAAGAGAGAGTGGAAATTGTATGAATGGAGCAAAGCGAAGAACTGAACGGCAGTCTGGAGCATGGCAGCAACGTCATAGCTTCTGTTCCCAGAGTGATGGCAACGCGCGACGATGCAAATGCAGCAGTAATTGTGTCATTCGAGGTTGAACCGAATTCGCAATTGCCTACTACGTCGGTGGCTGCAGCATCAAGTGCATCAATAACAACAACAACAATGGGAGAAAACGATACCGCAGCTGATGCCGTAATCGATCTATGCAACACCAGCCCAACCCCTTCGACATCTAAAACAGCTGCTGCTGCAGCAGCTGCTGCGTCAATTATAAATGTGGATAGCAGTCCGGAGGAGCAATCACCTAATGATGAAGATGTTGCAGGACCTTCAGCCGTGATCGAGTGTCCAATATGCTTACAAACATGTATACATCCAGCGCGCCTGCCATGTGGGCATATCTTTTGTTTCCTATGCGTGAAAGTGAGTAAACAAATCGCTATAATTTGCGAAAATATACAAATGTCATTGTCATTGTTGACGTAGTAGTCGCGTACGCCAATAGTTATAGTAATAGCAAAAGGCGTATAGTGTGTGTGGACTAATGCATAATTAATTGCACGGCTATTAGAAAACTTTAAGTGGTACGTGATCGGCTTAAAATATTAGCTTTGTTTAAACAAATTTGATAGCCGCAAGTGTTTAATTTCTTTATTTACTTCAGCCGTGCGGAAGTTTCAAAATAATTCGTAATTTCAGAGGAATGTTGTTCATTTAAAGTTAAATATGTTAAAAATATTGGACCAAATTCAGATAAAATATCTTCGAAAACTTTTATTCCCTGCAAAAAAAAAAAAAAATGCATCCGCCATTTATTGGCTGCTTAGCAAATTTTATAAGTTAAATTTTTTTTTGCTTTTTTTTTATTTGATATTTTTTATTATTAATACTTGTGCTAACATAAATTATGCGCCAAAATGAGTAAAACGAGGGCTTGACGCTTCTATTGCAGACACGTGTAGGGAAGTCAATCTAGCGCTAAGTTCGGCATAATAATTTGAATTTGTAATTATGCACACTTCGGATTAAACAATATTTGAAGTTCAACTTTTGGCAGGCACGTCCACACAACGTCATAGTCTACATATTGCTTATTAATGTGACCGACATGTCTTGTTAGTGGCGTCACTTCTGCAACACTAACAACTATGACTTGTTTGAGCGATTGGTTCAAAAGCAAAGACAACGGTTTTGAAGGTTGAAAGAATTATTATAGTTTCTTTTCAACTTACTGCTACAATTTCCTGGTTACCTAACGAAAATCACAGACACAAAATGTTTAGCGGTCCAGTGGTTTTTTAATCTCTGTTCTTTCTTTAACATCTCCGTTTGTGTTGTTTTACAAATGATCTTCATTTTAGGCACATAAAGTTGCTGGCATTGAAGATATACAGCCGAAGGTGCGTTTTAACTATAAACTAAGGTATTATTTTAATAAAAGGTATTTTAGTTAATTTATTTACCTACTGTGACCTCTTTTTTTGATATAATTTAAATCAGCGTATATTAACGGGCTAATAAACTTTTTTAAAGGCTACAATCTTATTTGGTTTATCAATGAAAATGAAGTAAAAACGTAATATTTGCAATGGATCTGCGCAATCTTGCACGAGCAACAGATTCGCCTAAGGTATTAGTTAGGCTAATGTAGAATTGTTGTTTAAAAGCAACATAAAAGTCAATAATTTTAAAAAATTAAAATGTCTTTAATACTTACTCTAAATATAAAATTTTTTTCTACCTCTTATTTTCTCAATAATAAAGATTATTTATTTAAAAAATTTTGCATTAAAACTTTAATTTTAAGTTTGTAATCCCGATATGGGGATTAAAAATAAGATATTTTTAAAGAAACGTATAAATAAGTTTTTCATTTAAAAACTTTAAATTTTTTTTAATATGAATGAAATAGGCAAACGCGAAGAAATTTTAATTCTAAAATTTTTTTTAATTTGTAATTGTACGCTTGATACTAATTTTTTCAGTTTTTCAAAATTTAATTCAAATATTAATTCTATTATTTTTTAATACAATTTTTGCAACCTTGATTAAACTAGGGCTGAAACTTTTTTTAGACTATAATTTCAGGATTTAAAAAAAAAATAATAAAAATTGTTTTGGTCCACACCACTATAGATTAAAATTAGTGAAAACAAAAGCCTAGCTTTGTTGTATACGAAAATTTTGGCGAAGGATATCTTTTTCGCATTTTAAATTTATTACGAAAAAAAAAATATTTTTAAAATGTATTTGAAATTGCGGTAGATTAATAACCGAATGATCCCTATTTTGAATGTATCATTACCAATTTAGAAGGTAGGGCTCAAAATTTTATTTTTCAGTTTTCATAATCTCTGCAATACAAAAGAATGCAAGTTTTCTGTTTTAGAAATTTTATTTTTGTTTGAAAATTTAAAAATCATTTATCATGCTTTGTGCTCATTTAAGTTTGCTCTCCAAACTAAAAACAATATTAACCTTTTATTTTTCGCTTGTAGGGCGTGGCCTACAAAAATCGACGTTGTGCTATGTGTAGACGTGAAATACCGCCCGAATTTCTCGACCATCCCGATTTGGTGAATGGTATCGATGATATTTGCGCTACAAAATCCACCGAAGACGGTTATCAGTGGTTCTACGAGGGACGTAATGGTAAGTAACGTTGAAACACCACCAGCACTCACAAACTTAAGACAAACTTCCGCAGGCGGTTGGTGGGCATATGACCCGCGCTCTTCCAACGATATCGAAGATGCGTATCAGACTCGCATGCTCGATACTGCTTTGATTGATCTGGAAGATGATTGTCGGCATGAAGTACTCATATGCGGCGCTATATACACCATCGATTTTGGCAATATGGTGCAACATCCAGTACAAAATCCCTCTCGAAAACGGAAGACATGTCGCTCGAAGCATATGCCAACCAAGGGCGTAGCTGGAATATTGAAAAACTAACACAAAAAACACAACTTAACATAATATACACATATACATTGACATAATATTTAACCTTTTGTATAAATACGCACGCCCAATTTAACACAGCTTTTTTATGTGGAACTGTTTAGGTTGGTGGCAGTACGATGATCGTACCAGTCAGGATATTGAGGATGCTTTTAAGAAGGGTGAAAAATCCTGCATCATATTAGTGGCTGGCTATGTCTACGTAGTCGATCTGGAAACAATGGTGCAACAACGTCAAAATGAGCCGAGTCGTTGTCGACGTGTTAAACGTGATCTGGCTACAATCCCCAAAAAAGGTGTAGCTGGCCTACGTATCGAAGGCAACACCGTCATAACCGATTCGAATTTCGCTTCACAAATCTATCAGCAACAACAGCAACAAAGTATAGCTGTTGGTCTGGGTGCTTCCAATACGCCAACAGATTCCTCTTCCGATCTCAGTTTACCACTCAATTATTATAGCATGCGGCATCCAGCCAATGCAAGTGATTTCATCTCGACCATAGCCGCCACCGATGCCGCAATACGCATTGCCAGCGACATAATTGGCTCAACGTTGGCGCATGCCGATGAGTTGTCGCGCAACACCGCCGCAGCAGCAAATACAGCATCAGCACAACAACAACAACAACAACACACTGACGATGTCAATAACGTACAACGCATGAGTGGTGAGAATACAGGGACTTACAGTGGCAGCTGTGCAACAACGGGTAACGGGACGGCTGGTACATCCACGTCATCCAGTTTAACGAGCGGCGGCAGCGTTGCCGCTGCGGCGCTTGTAGCGCATGGTAGTCGCGAGTTGCTTGATGCAGCTGAAGATCTGCTGGATGCGACACAGAATGTGATCTCCGAAGCTGATCAGCAGACAATCGATCTGTTTGAGCAGACATTGAACGATTTCCATGCGTTGACATTACGCAACATCATCGACTCGGACAGTGACGAGGACAATGGTGGTGACGTGGACAGCCGCTACGCTCAGCGTCATATACGTTTCTAGAAGTGCGCAGGGAAATGCGTCAGACGCAATTGAGCGCCCTTACACACACAGCCATATACATATAAACCCACAAAAAAACAAAAAAATTCACAAACTTATGCACATATGTTTGTCATTGTTGTTTAGGGAGGTGTGCATTTACATTAAAAGTATTCGGCAGGGCGCGTTCTATATACTATTAGTATAACGGTAGTGTATGCAACCGACGAATAAGCGTAATAGTTACACCAACGTTTGAATGTATGTTTAATCTACCAATCACTTGAAAACCGAAAATTCTAATATCGTATAAAATAACTATGAAATAGTGTGGGATTGCAAAAGTAAAGCTGAAGCATAATTGAATGAAGAGTAAGCAAATAAATATTAGTGTAGGAAAAAAGGCGTTATTAATGTAAATATAAATGAAATTCAGCAACGAGACGGCATTAAAAACTGTAAGATATGTACCTGGTAAACGCAAATCTGTAAATTCTATATGAGCCTACATTTTTAAGGTCGGGTTGTTCTAGTTTAGCAAAAACTCACAGATGAATAGTTTACAAAAAGCAAAATGCAAAATGCAAAAATGATATAAAAGACACTATAAAACATTTAAATGTGACTTATACCAAAAAGAAACGTCTGGAAAACTCTTCAAAAGCTCATTAAAAATATTCTAAATATGTAGCTAACAACTAAAATTAAATATAATCCTATAATGAAAAATAGTGCAGTTTAGGGAATAAGAAAAAACGCCAATTATCTTATGTTATGAATTAATGCTTCCGATAGATATTTTCTCCAAATTAAATATAAACTTATATATATGTATATATAGTTTTTGGAAACAAATTAGCTCTCGAAACTATCTTTTGTTTATTTATTTATTTAAGAAAATCGATATTGAGTTTTAACCTCAAAGTTACAAAAAAGTTAAGAAGTTAATTTAATTACGAATGACATAACGGTTTTCAATTTGCTTAGTAATTTTGTGAATTTGTTACGGTTGTATACCGACTAAAAGTAGTGAATAAGATTATTTTTGATGCTTTTCCATGATAAGCCTTATTATATACATTGGTCGAAAAGAAATGAAGTGAAAATACTCATTTTATAAACATTATTGAAGTTTTCAAAAGTCTTAAATTTTAAAATTAATCATTTGCAATATTTTCAAGTCCTTTTATGCATTAATTTTTAGTCACACAATTCATTTTATAGGCCTATGTCAGTTATATAATGGCGTAACAAGTTATTTTTTGACAATATTTTGCGGAAATACTGAAATTTTAATAGCCTTTTACGTGGAATTCGAATTTCACTGACTTAGCCGTAGAAGAATGACTGTTATAGAGCACTTAGGCGTTGAAAAAGTTACGTTCATTAAAGCATTTTATAATTTCTTTGCTAATATGAAAAGTAAAAGCGACTAATTTTTTTATTATTCTTGCAAGATCCATTCCTTCAAGTAATTTTTTATACTGCAATTTAATAACTTCAAGGAAAGGCTTTTCATTCAAAAAGATTTCTTCAAAAAGTGACTTTTCTATGACTTAAGTTGGCGTTAGGTTTACATAAATTTTTAAAAAACTTCATTTAATGAATTACTTTTAGTTTTCATTCAAAACTGAAAGCGCTTTTACGCCCGTTACTAATGATAAATATATACATATATACAAGCATTCTACAAATATATACACAATAATATTAGTAAAAAATACCAATTTAATATATATATAATGAACACCACTACATACATATAATAGTTAGCTATAAATATCGTGATTATAGTAATTGCCAAGTGCTTAGTAAGTAGGAAAAATATTAGAACTACCAGTAATGTTAATACTAAGTGTTAGGTAATACAAAGAATGTATACTTAATTAGGCCTAAAGCGCTGTACTTACACCTTCTACTCATATGATGACCAAACTTTGTTTGTATGTATGTACTCCGACTTTTCTCGCAAAATGCTTGAACATTTATATGTATTATTATATTTAATATTGTACTAATAATTATATTATTTTTTATTTCCTGGTCATAGGCGTGAATCGCTCCTCCCACATATTCCTTTCCGTGCAATGCATACTCAAAGATTGTCTCGTCAGTGTATTGGAATTTTACAAATCCTTACTCATACCCAACTACTGTGTAGATAATTAGAGCAAAATTGTCAGCCAATTGCGTTAAACATAGAAATAGTAGTCGTAAGTTTTTTGTTTTTATTGAACAATTTCCTAATCTTATTGTGAGGAGCACGGCAAACTAAAAGCGCATCGTCATACAATTAATATCATTAAAAGCAGTTAATATTTTGCTCATTTATATAGGGTGCCTAAGTTAGAAATTATAACCTATGAATAATTAATTCATTGTACGCAATTCATGAAAATAATTTTATTTACTAAATTTTCACTTACATTATTTACTATTTTTGAAACAAAGAAAAAAAGAACACTCACACTTCCTCGGTTTACTCAACACACATATTAATGCAAGCATAACATTTCATTTAATTCTTTATTTTTTTAAATATTATAAGTATGTAGCGAAAATTATTTTTATAAAAATATAAGCAATAAAAAATAGCAATAAAAACAGTAAACTGGCATGTTGCATAGGGTTTCCGCTAACTCGTTTACGTTTTGGCATGTTTGGTGTTATTGCCGAACGAGAAAATTGTAATTTATGTACTATCATTAGCCACTATAGACCCACACAAACATACTTCCATATATTTCTATAGCAAAAACAAATAAATTCTACCTATCGGCTTGTGGTCTCAAACACTTCACAATAAACACAAAAAATGCATTTTCTTTTTCCACTTTCTATATTTATTACAAACATATCGCATTCCATGGGTTCTGCTGCGTGCGTTATACGCCTAGTACGCTTCTAAAACTTATTTGGAAAATTCTCACTAATCAAGCACACTGGATAAATTCTGCTCTACTCCTTCATGTCTATGCTATTGCGTAACTCTCATTTAGCACCGCATAGCGCCAATGCTCAGCATCATTTCAACCTTCATTCTTAACAAAAAATCGAAAAGTGCACAAATTTTACACACTTTGCTCTTCTGCTCATTTATCTTTAAATAGATTTGACAAATTTTCCATTCATTTATTTGCTTGTTTTCCAGAGTCAAAAGCAAGTACACGTCCAAGGTTTGTTCGAAAGGCTTGCAAGCGGCGACCAAATGCACATACATACATGTATACATATGTATGGTGTTATCCTTGAAGAAACTAAACATTTCGTTTATAAAATTGAAATAAATACAAATTTTAGTGCGTATTTGATGAGTAATATTTTATTTGTAAATTGTTGAAGCAAATCTTCTGCAGTGTTGTAGAGTCCATTAACGACTTTTTTTGAATATGTTGTAGAAATAATTGCTTTTGTGGAGGAAAGAAGTAGTGTTTTTGCATACTAACATAGTACTAATTGTACAGCTTAAAAATGTTCCGTTAAACATTTTTCATTCGTCTAAAAATTAAGTAAATTTCTTGTTGGGTATTAATGACCCACTAAGTATTTCAAATACTCATTTTGAATAGAATCTTTTTTATTCTGCAAATGTCTTGCACGATAATAATGCTTCAAGTAGTGTTTTTTTTTTTTTATACCATAAATCTTTCGCAGCACCTTTTTCTCGAAAACTCGTAACGTCGACTCATTGGATGTTGTCATCGTCCATGCTTCTGTACCATATAGCAGGACGGTAATAATGAGTGACTTATAGAGTTTGCTGGTGTTTGTTCGTCGAGAAAGGACTTTACTTCTCAATAGCCTACTCAGTCCGAAGTGGCATGCGTTGGATTTCCTGGTTGCTGGTGTCGATACTGGGTCCAAGATAGATGAAATTATCTCGACATCAAAGTTATTACTGTCAACAGTGACGTGAGAGCCGAGTGCAACGACTGTTTGTTTGATGACAGGAGATATTTTGTTTTCCCTCGTTCAGCACCAGACCCATTTGCAGAACTAACGCCGCGGGCGTTAAGACCAATGATATCAACATACACCAGCAGCTGTACTCCGTTATAAAAAATTTTACCTGTTCGATGAAGTTCTGAAGATCGAATTATTTTCTCCAGCAGAAGATTGAAGAAGTCAATCAATAGGGAGTCGCCTTGTCTGAAACTACGTTTGATATCTAACGGCTCGGAAAGAGCACCCGGCACTGATGGAGCTTTTGGTATTGCTCAACGTCAGTTTACATAGAAACTGATACGGATTTTTTTTCGTGTTGTCAAAAGCAGCTTTGAAATCGACGAAGAGGTGGTGTGTGTCGATTCTCCTTTCACGGGTCTTTTCCAAGATTTGACGCAGGTGAATATCTGGTCGGTTGTTGATCTTCCAGGTCTAAAACCACACTGATAAATCCAATCAGTTTGTTTACGGTGGGCTCTAATATTTCAGACAATACGCTCGACAGATTCTTACACGCGATGTTGGGGAGGCTTATCCCACGGCAATTGGCGAAAATTGTGGGGTCTCCCTTTTTATGGATTGGGCATAGCGCACTTAAGTTCCCATCGTTTGGCATGCTTTCGTCCGACCATATTTTACAAAGAAGTTTATGCATACTCCTTATAAGTTCTTTGCCGCCGTGTTTGGATAGCTCGGCCGGCAATCCATCGGCCCCCGTCGTTGTGTCGTTGTGGTAATTGCTATTCAAACTTCTTCTCTTGGTCTGGCAATGGAACATCTGCAAGATCGTCATCGATTGGGGAATCGGGATCATATTCTCTTGGCCTTATGCTATCACTGCCGTTCAGCAGGCTGGAGAAGTGTTCCCTCCATAATTTTAGTCTGATGTGGGCATCGGTTACTAGATCACCTCTGGGAGTTCTACAACAGTTTGCTCCGGTCTTGAAACCTTCTGTTAGTCGCCGCATTTTTTCGTAGAATTTTCGAGCATTACCCTTGTCGGCCAGCTTGTGGCTCTCTCTTTTTCTGTCTCAAATGCGTCTCGCCGCCCTCTTCAACTCTCGGTATCTATCCCATCCCTCAAGTGTTGTGGTCGATCGAAACGTTGCGAGGTAGGCAGTGTTTTTTCTCTTCGCTGCGACACGGTGCTGCTCATCGTACCAACTGTTCTTTTACTTTTTCCGAAAACGAATGGTTTCGGTTGCAGCTGTAGGTACGGAGCTTAAAATGTCGAACCACAAGTCCCTCATACCGAGTTGTTGACGAGTGCTTTTAAAGAGCAGGAGCGCAAGCGGAGTAGAAAATCCTTCGGCTATCTTTTGTGATTTCAACTTCTCGACGTCGAACCTTCCTTGTGTACGTTTTTTGATGCACAGAGGCGGCTGCGTATTTTGACTACAACAAGATAGTGGTGAAACCCTAGAGACTTGTCTTCCGTCTATCACGACATGATCGATCTGGTCACTAGCTTTTCAATCCGGAGACATCCAGGTAGCTTGGTGAATTTTTCTATCCTGGAAGAGTGGAGTGCTACAGATAATCATATTTCGGATCCCGGCGAAGTCGATCAGCCTCAACCCATTTGGGGATGTCTCCTCGTGGAGGCTGAATTTACCGACTGTTGTGCCAAAGATACCAAGATCCTTACACGCCCTAGCGTTAAAGTCGCAAAGCACGATTTTGAGATTGTGGCAGGGCAGCTCTCATAGCTGCGCTTCAAGCGCTCAGAGAAGTCATCTTTGGTCACGTCGTCTTTCTCTTGCGTCGGGTCGTGGGCGCAAATCAGCGATATGTTGAGGAACTTCGCTTTGAAGCGGACTGTGGCTAGACGTTTATCCACCGGGATAAATGACAGTACTCGACGACGAAGTCTCTCTCCCACCAAGAATCCCATACTGAATTTGCGCTCCTTTATTTGGCACTGTAGTAAATGCCACAAGGACCTACTCGCCTTAGTCCTTATCCCGTCCATCGCATTTCTTGGACGGCGGTAATGTCAGTTTTATTTTTATAAGGACATCAACCAGCTGGGCAGCGGCACCTTCCCAATTAAGGAACCGGACATTCCAGGTGCAAGCCCTGATTGTTATTTTTCATTGGGATGGTCCCAAACCCAGTGCACAACCCTTCGGAGGGGATGTTGCGCCCTCTCGCTTTAGCTCGCCTTCAAACAGATATTCCTTGGCTACCCAGAGGATACTTGGTCTAGGACCGGAAGTAGTGAGCTGTTTTAGTCATATGTAAAGGAATCGTTTCTGGCCATTCCTAAATGAATGGTAATCAGAGAACTTTCCTCACTTGCATGAACTTCAACACATGACTCCTTCCTCCATGTACCACGTAAATAGGTTTAAATATTTTATCACTCGTGAAAAGAATTAAGATGATTGTTGATAACGGTAAAAATTGTAAAAGTGTTTATTTTATTAAAGTTAAATGATTTAATGTAATAACATAAAAGGAACCGTTGAAATGTATAAAATATTCGAATGTGTGAGAAACGTTAAAAGTTTGTCTTTACTTCTTCTGAAGATCAGCCCAAGCAGGATAATCTTTAGTTGCTGGAAATACAATGAAGTGCCAAGATAAAGAATTCAGATAGATGAGAATTATGGTTGTAAACGTGGGAATTAGGCCGCCAACAAACTGTTGAAAGAAAGCGAGAAAAATAATTATAATATAACCTATATTATAGGTAAGTTTTGAACCTACCATTTTCTTCCAGCTTATGTTGGCTTGTTCTGCTACAAGGGCGTTAGGTGGCGTACTAATTGGTAAAAGGAAAGCAACACAGCAACCCAGGCCAGCTGGATATATCAAATTTAGTGGATGCGTTTGGGCATTACGTGCCTGAAATGTAGATAGAGATTCACATTTATATATTATATGGAATTTATATTATCAATAGTGGGATACATCCAATTTTTAAGATGAAGCAAAGGTTAGCAAAAGGATTTGATTAGATTGATTAGATTAACGGATTCTTGGTACTGCCAGAACATTTTGACGTGCAGTATTTGTCGCACAGGACTTAAAGGTTTGTTGCAAACTTTAAGGGCAACTGGATATCTGAGTGTGATGCTTCATCTAGTCTTTGAACTGTGAAAATCCTAAATATTGAAGACAGGTTCTAGATAATGATATACATAGGTATAGGAACTATTCCAGCGTCTCTCTCATGCCTACTTCTCTGCATTTTCTACCCGTGCGCGTTAAAAGCATATGAGTTTTTCTACGGGACTCCTGCACATGATCTTGGTGATTCTGCGTTTCCATTCCACCCGGATTCGCCGGTCAGCCCTTTCAAAAATTTCAGGCTGATGGCACTTCTGACAATCTCATCAGCTATTTCGTTTCCCGGAGTTGCTTTCTGCCCTGGCACCCACTTATCTGCTTGCAGCTAGTATATGGTCTAATTTGTACATCCCTGCTAATATTACCGAAGGTTCTTATAGAGAATTCACCTAACACAACCAAAGTCGATTTGTGTTAGATTGTTAAGCAGAAAATAGCGAGCCTCTGTATTCGCTCCAACGATTTTCTGTATGAAATTTTGCTGACAGTCGTGCACCACATCAAAGTACCGTAAAGCACTACTGGCTTGACTACCGCTGTGTAAAACCAGTGCATGGGGCCAGCTGCAAGGCCGCATGTAGACCCTAACATTCTCTTACATTGACCTATTCCTTTCCTCCACGTTGAGTTTCCACATAATTTTGCTATCTAAAATTATTCAGGTATTCGGTACCCGGTATGATTAATCAAATCCGGGATTCTTTTTCATCTTAATGTCCGAACTATCGAACTCGGGTCGTTATCCAAACGTGTGAAGAACGCGTCCAACAGTTTCAGCTCTGCTGCTCTCCATTTTTCTCGCGTAATCTCTCTAAGGGGGTTACTTCTGTCAATAAGTGGTAGGATTAAATGCATCTTGCATCTTGGCAATGTCGCTGACAATCGCCACCACCTTGGCAGTGGCTGTAATTATTACTTCAATCCGGCTTGTGAATCTCGAAATTGCGGCCACGAAGCATAGCATGACTGGCTTTTTTCAATTTTTTGCCGTAGGACAAGCCAACCTTTCCTCCTTCTCCTTTGTCTGGTTAGACTTGCAGTTAAGCTTTTCGTGGACTTTCACCACCGATTTATATGTTGCGTTTGCTTCCAACCTCTCCTTACTCAGTTTTGCCCTTGGCCTAATCTTTACCTTTGGCAACAGCTGGAGAGCGCGAGCGTTTTCGAAGTTTGAGTCTTCATGGTCTGTAACACGTCTATGTTGCAAAGCGGATTTGGCAGTGGTACTACAACCGCTGTGAATTGCTCCCTTCGCAATGCCAGCAGGCGACACAACAAGTCAACTCACTGTGCCATAATACACTTTAGAGTCGTCTGTCTAGATTGTGATTCTGACTTCAGCTGTTCTTCAGAACTTCCTTGAGAGGAACGTCACCTCAAAGCATTTGTTGAAGTCTGTCTTCGGCGGTTTGACAGTCAATTCAATTTTAAGAGCTCTTCCAGGAACTCACTACAACCATATTGGTTGAGCACAAAACACTTGTGCAAAGTTGGAAACCGAAATTTGATTGTCCTAATTACAGTCGTCGATCACATGTCTAGTTTTAGATTTAGACCTCATGGCATGCATATAACCCTAATATTTCTTTTATTAAAATGTTCTTTACTTACAATTTCAGCTATAATTGGTACAACGATATTGCACACGCCCGTATTCAAAGTAAATGTCGTTAAAAATGCCGAAACCAAGAGCGAAAATAACTGTAAAACCGGTAAAGGCAATCCATTGAATGTGGACACTTTATCAGCAAGCCACAGAGACAACCCAGACTCTATAAAGCTTTTTGACAGCGCGAACCCGCTACCTGGAAATGCAAAACAGCAACAAAGATTTTTATATACATATATCTGGTATATATATGAAAATATATATGTAAATAGGTTATAAATATACCTAGTACAAAAACGATCCCCCAAGGGAAATTGTTATTAACGTATTTCCATGACAATAAAGGTTTCTCAGCGCTGGAGGGAAAAGGACCTAATAATAAGTAAGTATAACTGGTTTCAGTAGAAAGCTATGAATATTTTACAATTTACCCTTGCCGCAGCAGAATTTGAAAAATGTATATCTTGCTGGAAAATAAAAGAGCATTACGACCACGGCAATCATTGGGGTAGCTCCTTTAATAAAACTGAAACGAAATGGAAAAAATAAATTACACAGACACAAATATTAAAATTTCGAAATATTGATTCTTGTAGAATGGGCGTGATTATGGTTAGAGTATTGCAATCAATATTTATCTACCGAGAAGCATATATACCAATTCTCATCCAAATACTTATCTAAATTTATTTTGGGTAAAACAAGGGTATCTCATAATGCTCTAGGCACTCGCTACGATAGCAGTAAAACCATATTTTCACAGAACTCTAACTAGTTACTTGCGTAAGGCAACAAATTTTGGCCGGGCTTTACTGTCCCAGTTGCCTGGATATGATGAGTTAAAATGATTTTCACGCTTCTTTTTGACGAATTTGAGAGACTAGGCTTGTAGCATCTTGACTCTCACTTGGAAGTTTATTTCTCTAACTCACTTTTATAACAATCTTACTCACCCTTTCTTATTCATAGGATCAGCCCATCCCGTTATAATTCCAGGTGATTGAAATGTAAGCAAAAATATCATAAGTATAGATATTATAGCAACTTGAATTTCATGAATGCTCATCGGACCCATATCCTCAAATTTCTGTTTAACTGCAGTCGTAACTTCGTTAGAACTTTTTGTGAAGCTAGAAAGTGCCGCACCGGTCACACTTTTGGGACGAAAAAGACCAAAATGGGTCATTAAAAGTGTGAAGTACAAGAGCACTAAGGCTACTAGCACCCAAGGAATATTGTATGCCAACGCTTTGGGAAAGTCAATGATGTCCGTGGTATTCACAAATAAGCTGAAAGCAAAGTAAAAATTAAAATAAGAACGTTTAAAATAATCATAAAGTGCAACAACAACGCTAATTCACAATCAATAATTAAAGAAATCTTGGAAAACCCACGTGAAATGAGGATCAAGCTGGTATATCCTATTCACCGATTTCAAAGCTGCTTTTAGCAGCTATGTGTGAATTTGGTATCCCCGTAAAACTAATACGGCTGTGTAAACTGACGCTGAGCAATACCAAAAGTTCCATCAGGATTAGGAAGGACTCAATCTACTGTTGGAGAAAATAATTCGATCTGTATAGCTGAACTAGGAATGTACAATATTCTATAAGAGTGTACAGCTGCTAGCATATGCCGACGATATGGAAGTGCTGAACACATAGAGAGCGACACGTCTTGGCAGCACGACAGTGAACTGTAAATGGCGTCGTGAATCCTTCTACATGAACATTTGTAAGAAGCGACATAACAATGGCCGGCATGTACACAAGACAACATATCTGTCCATTTTGCGCGTACACAATTTCGTTGTGGCCATACTAATACCTTCCACTTCAATGAAATTTTAATATTTTGTTCAAAGTGAAATTTTGTAGGCACAAAATAAGTGAATAGGTAAATTTATTTGTTTTAAATTGTTAATTGTTATTACAAATTATATAATAGAGCTATTTTATGCTTTTATTTGTAAAATAAGGTCAGGTCCTCTCTATTGTCAACTCTACTGTCGTGCTACTGTCGTTGGCAAAATTTAAGTATATTTTGAAGTTAGCGAGAGCGACAACTGTCGGCCTGCAGTCGTGTAGTCGTGCAGCTGTCTAAATAACTGTGTCCTTTAGAACGTGTGTATTTTAATATTTGACAGATGTCGCTTGCAGTCTGTCGCGCTCTATGTCTTCAGCACTTGATATCATAAGCCTGAACAACCGAGGGCAAGACGACATATCTCCTGTGATCATACAAACAGTGGTCGCAATCGCGACTTGGCTCCCATATTGAAAATATGAAAAAATCATAGATAATTTCGACAATTTTAGAATCAGCCTCGAAAACCAACGCAGAATAACTCTTGCCAACAGGAGTTACTTCGGACTGAGTATGCAATTGAGAAGTAAACTCCGCTCTTGACGAACAAAGACCAAACCAAAGGCATAGACGTTGACATCTGATAAGCCGGCGGCACAAGTTTTCGGGGAAACACTCCATCCCTGAGAGAATTCGACGCAATACCTACCACCGAAGGCAGAGTAGGAATTATCTTTATAGAGTTAAACTGCAGCATTCTAGAAATCCTTAGGAAGTTGTGGCTTTAACCTACTTTTTATCAGTCCCATATGAACATTTGACTTTCTCTTTCCGACTTATTGAAGCCTTTTCCTATTACAGTAGACCCGCCATGTTAAAAAGCGAAAAAGCGATATATACAATATAAAGGTACATGACCGAGCTTCTTTTCCCTTGTAGAATACTTCTCTAAAAGATATGAAATGAATGGACCAGTTTCAAACCGGCACCGTATGGCGAGTGAATGCGAATGAGACTATAAAGTCGGAAATGGAAAGTTTCGAAAAATTCAATTTTAAGCTTCATTACAAATCTCCTGCCACACCCTCGGCCCATGTTAAAGCGGCTGATATTTTGCGTAACATTACAAAACATGATTTCAGAAGATATTAAATGTAAACTTTGCAACATTATGCTTAATATGTAATTGCATATGAATTCTGTTCGAACTTTTTGCATTTTTTCTCCATTCCTAGGCTTTAAGCAATACTTACTTTTCATATTGGCCCTTTGTTGCTATATTTGTGGAAGTACCAATTAGTGATGCACAGCCACCAATCGTTGCCGAATAACATACTGCCAAGTAATAGCCAGTGGCGATATGTGAAGACTCTCTATTCCTGTAAAAAAAAATTTGGGTATCAACAATTTATCAACCGATTTAAAAAGTAATCCTACATACTCTTCGTCTTGTTCGGGCTTTTTGTCCTCCTTGATCTTTAAACCGCCCTAGAAATATGTTTAATTCTTAAATCTTGTAGAATTTCAACGTAAATTTGCCAACTTACCGCCTCGAATTCGTCGAGCACGGCTTTCACTAGAGGCAACATCATTGCCGTAGTGATTGTGTTCTGCATCCACATCGAGAAAAACCCGGTAGTCAATATGAGAGTAATGATAATGCTTTGAAGAAAATTTGGAATTTAATAGATTTCAAGGTGTATGGCTCAACATACCTACCGTTTGGGACTAACACCCAGCACTGTTAGTAAACCGAGAGCCACGCGTTTACCCAAGTTGCTGGATTCGATGCTGAGGCCCACAATAGCGCCTCCTATGAAAATCGCTAACGGTACCGTGAAGTATTGTTTACACGTCGGAGTTGAATCCTGAAAGAATATAAAAAGATGTTATCTATTTACCATGCTTACAAGGAACACTGCGATTCTGAGAGTTCTTACCATCAGGCCCAGAAATGGCAGCAAAACAAATGGCAACAAACCGGTCACTTGTAACGGTACAGCAGTTGTTAACCAATAAATGGACATGAGGGAAAATACATATAGGCAACGTAAGGGCTACAAAAGTACACATACAAACTAAATGGTCAGACCCAAACTCTTGATAAAAGCAAAGCTTACTCTCTCATAGCCTGGTATTATGATTGGCAGTAACAGAAATGGTGTCACAATTAGTACAATGCCTCGCCAATGGAATTTGCATAGGTGTCCATACATTCGTGGACAAGAATTCTCTTTTCTGTAAGAAGCGCAGTATTATACCTGTAAAGCTTACTTAAAACTCTTTGTGCACTTACTCGTCTTCCATGATTATAAAGCCGACGTATTACGAAACTGTGTGGACTGTTTAACGAATTATATGTGCTTCCTTTATTTCAAATACAGTCTTATAATTCAACAAAAGTCACAAATAGAAAATCATTGTGTTCTTATTCATTTTGGTAAAGTAGAAAACAGTGTTTGAAAACTTATTTTTCTTAGTTCCAAATTTTCTAACATTCCTAACATATAGTATAAGCCGAGCGCGGAAGAGAAGATTGCGGCATGTAATATCTGCTTCTCGCTTGGTCCCGTAAGTTTATGCCGACGGATATCAGAAGAAGGGTCTTCTAGATTCATAGAAGAAAACATTAATTGAGAAATTCGAGGCACTACAAATAACCCCCCTCTTAAATACAACCATTTTACATCGAGTCGAAACAATGCAGATGGTGAATGTTTATTATATTCGAAAGCTTGTATCGAAGCGGGATTGTCCGCATAGACCTCGGACATTATATATCCCCACAAAAACAAGTATAACGGTGTGATATCACACGATCTTGATGGCCAGTCGACCCGCCCTAAACGTGGAATTAATTATCTAATAGATCGATGCGATGTGTGAAGTGGAAGTGGTGCCGTTTTTTTGTAACCAAATGTCGCCGACATCACGAGCTTCAATTTCAGGCACATCAATAGTAAGTTATCATGGCGCGATAATGGTGGCCATTGTATTGTTCCTTCTCACCGGCATCTTTTTTGAAGAAATATCGCCCGAATCGATTGAACATTGTGTTTGCACGAGCTGTATTTTGTACGCTTTCAATGTAACATCTCAATGTAGACTGCGCCAAGTCGTTCCATACGTCAGTCCGAGTTGCTGCAAACAACGCCGAGTCGACTCTCCACTGTACACTCTCAGCTACCGCTGCTATATTTTCTTCACTGCGTGCTGCACCTATTCGTTCGAATAATACTGAATACTGGATCTCAAGATGGGTGTTACGAACAGTATGCTCATTAGAGCGATTATGGTGACCATAAGTTGAGCAAATCACGAAACACATTCTTCACAGAAAGTGAATTAGCGTAATCAAAAGGCTCCCTTGCTCTGGTGTTAAACGACCTGATAAATGTACTCGAGGAACGGTGCTGTCGAGTAATTATCTGCGTTGACGACATACTAGAAGCAATTTCGGCAAAAGGAAAATTCTTAAACACCGTCTACAATCTCACCTAAGGGAACCTAAATGTGGCTATCAGGTGTGCAGATATGATTTATTTAGTCATTAATCCAAATAAAACTAAGAGATAAGATGTTTCTCTCCTTCTTTCTTCTAAACTGTCTAACGGAGGTTGAAACATATTTATACAAGTGGACAGACCATTTCTGGTATTAATATTAGCCACCTTAACAAATTTGTGATAAGCTCCAAACGCTTCGGCGATCTAAAAGGGTATGGTGATTTACATCTTGGAGTTTTGAAAGCGATTACAGATGTCCTGGTGGAGCTCTTCGTTACCTGTGGTGTGAGGATCAGCACTGCGACATAACCTAAGTTATTTATGGAATATAGTATATCAAGAGCTTTCGAATGAAGCCTTTTCATTTTCCCGTCTTTCATGTTCTTCTATTATATTTATAGGATTAATTCACTTCCTCGTTTGAGAAGTTGGCGCCAATTGGAAACACAATTTATTTGTTAATGTGATTTTCTTCTCTGATAATAATGAATTTAAATATTGACGTGTAATCCAGATATAGAAACCCTGTATATCCCATATAGCAAGCAGTTTGACCAATAGGTTTTGGCCATCTTTGACAGGTGCTTCTTGAGACTTGACCAAATTATATTAGAAAACATAATTCGGAGCGAAAAGCCAAAATAACTACTATTATTCTTGCCAACGTTCAAAGACAATCGGGAAGACTTTTTGCACAAATTTGCGATCTTGATCAAGGAAGCGCACGGTAAATGTTACGGGGGAATCAGCACCTGTTAAGAACACTACTTTTTTGGTGAAGCTTAAAGTAAGCTTAGCCCAGCAGTAAAAAATGTCGGTATGCACACAGTTTCATAATTTTCCATAACGTTGGAATGAAATTTATTTTATGTTCTGGTTTTTGCAGATATTGAGGTTCTTGAGAAATCAGTATTTATAAAGCAAATGAAAATTAAAAATTTATTCATATTTGCATGCTAAGACACTGAGGTAAATTTGGTGAATTTCCAAGTCGGCTTTGCGGCCAAAGAGGCAAACAAATATTTGAGTTCCACTTGTCGCTGGGTTCCCGTACTTACCTGGCACACTTCCACACAATTGTAGTCACAAGCATACATCGTGGTGAGTAGACCAAAATGCTGGTAAAATGCAGATGACTGTATCTACGTTGTACATTCTATAAAGAGAAGATGTGTGCGCGCACACACACCTTTAGACATGCATACAAACATATTTATACAAGCACATATGAGAGGACACTTTTTTATGCATCAGCAACGTTGTCAGCATATTTGCAGGTGATATGATGGAAACATGTGTATGTGCATGTGCATGTATATATGTATATGCAGAAAATCAAGTGCATTCTTTTGAAAAAGGGGTTACAGTGGTTGTATACGGTTTAAGAAGTAAAAATGCTCAAATTATATTCATATTAAATACAGTATCCATGCGAAGGATTCAAATAAAAATACTCTTTTGACTTGTAGATGCTTCTTTCGATCTTTTTTTGTTTTGCTATAAACTGTAAATATGAGATTCTGAAAATGTTTAATATTCTGACTTTTTATATCAGAAATAATGCCGGAAGTCTGACACAGGGACGTTATTAATAACAATTGTCGGCGTCTGTCCATCACACAAACAATTTCAAACGAGTCTTCGTTAGTTCTACCACATCAAAATCAAATAAGAAATATTATTACGGAAGATATTTACCGAACAAACAGTGTTCTCTTTCCGCTGCCTAACACTACAAACCATTTCAGCTTTATTTAAGATTCGATTATACTGGCCAGCTGCCACGCCATAGATAGGCCTGCTTACTAATGCCAAATGGAGGTCCAGTTTATTTCGAACTGAAGTATATCTATATATGTAAAAGAAAGTTGTGTTAGTTACACCATTTACAACTCCAGAACGGCTGAATCGATTTGGCTGAATATTGGTGAGGAGGTAGCATAGAACGAGGGTAAGCACATAGGATACTATTTATCTCTTTACGGTAAAATTTAATACAACTCATAAACACAAAAATTATATTTAAAATCGTAAGTATTTCTTCAAAATTCATGTTTGTAGAAATCATTTGAATATTTCATTTATTTTTATTATGAACTTTCGAGGCACCCACTTTGCACAGAGTTTTGCCTTTTTAGAGCATCATTGTCCTCGGTGCTCATTTCGCTTGTTTCCAGCTTAGTAAATATCTTTTCAAAGGTGGATTTCCCTGAGCCAAAATTCAACAGTATTTTCCCTCAAAAAGCAATGCTTTATGAACACACGAAATGCTTTATGATCCATTTTTATGTAAACTAACATAAGTTGATTCACAAAAATGCTATATCTTATTAACTAGCAGAATATACAAAAATAATAGAAATTATATAGATGGCAGCAGATAGTAGATGGGCTCAAAAAATCTTTTATTTTTATTTTTCATAAATTGCGGATAAGCCAATCAACCGGAAACATGTAGAAAATGCGAGCCGAAACAGTCCAACACATGGGGCGCCGTTTCATTATGTGCATTCTCATCAACTATTTGGTTTTCCAGAATGTCCTTGTGACCGGGAATCCGTTAGCATATAAGCAGCCGCTTTCCGGCAGACAGACTCCCTGCTTTTGAGGACTTTCACTGCTGTCACACTGTGCAAGATTTTTTCCTTAATTATCGCCTGGCTATCGACGATATCTTTATAGTCTCACTTTTGTGTTGTAAAATTTTGTCTAGAACACATACATATATTAAAGACGAATATACTATAAATATATCGTCGATAGCCAAGCGATAATTCCGGTGGCGCTTGTGAAAAGTAAGTTGTTAGCCGATAAAAAGATGTCGTAGTCATAAGTTAAAATAGTCTAAGTGGACTTAGTTAGTTACCAGGCATATTAAACAATTCTAACCGAATTTCATCAGAATTTTATGTAATTTTTTTTTTCAAAAGTGCCCACTGTGCAATCGTGCTGCGTTGCATTTTCGCTTGTTGTTGCTGCTTAAGGTGTTTAATTGGAGTTCAATGGTGTAGATATTATACCTGCACTTATTTGCTGCTGTTTTGGTGTGACTATTGGTGAATGTATTGGTAAATTTGTTCAGTTCGGCGCTCTGAAGCTCAGCGGTTTTGACAGCAGCAGCATGTTTTCAATAAATATTTCCACCACACCGCGCTATGGCAACGGAGGGTGGAGAGAATCATACCTTGCTGCAAATTTATTGTTGTTGCTGTTGTTTAGTTTTCTTGCTTCCACCACTGGCAGGCTATTGAACGTGGGTTATGACGTTACTGCGCATGATTCTAGCTTTTGTTGTTGGTTTCCTTTTGAATGCAGGTATATGGGTGTGTGTGCGTGTGTGTAGCATGCAAGGTGTCGCTCAAAACTGGATTTGAGCAACAGCCTCTTAGCGCAGCACAAAACTGGTTGCTGGCGCTCTCAGGAAGCAAGAGCCACCACCAAGAAGCAAACAATTTTCCACGGAGGTTTTTGCTTTCCACTTCTTTGTTTTGTTTCGTTTCCATAATCTTACCACTCGCTGCGCAATCTATCGATTTGGCCAAGCGCTAACCACTGCACAGCCAACAACAATGCCAACAACAACGCGGACAACAGCATTGTTTGAGATGTCAGGCTGCGAAGGCAGCAACATGGCTTGTTACTTTGGCCGCTTGGTTCAGTAGTTGGATTGGCGCCGGAGAGCACGCGGATAAACGACACAAAAGCTTAGTGATTACACGGTCAAACACAGACACACATATATAAAATACATACTTACATACATATGTATATGTCTATGAATATAACGGGTTCGTAGCGCTAAAATATTTATATTTTCGAAATATAATTTCCAAAAGTAATTTATTTAAAATATAATTTGAAGTGATTTGCAGTGTGTGGAAGAAAAGTGAGTGTTGAAAAATGTGCTGTGCGGCCAATATTGATTTTATGTTGGCGTAAAGCAGCCGCAGCAGCAGCAAATAGCAATAAAAGTGGTAGTGGCAATAGCAGTGGCAGTGAAACAAGCAAAAGACGAAGCAAAAGAAGAAGCAGGAGCTAAAGAAACAGCCAACGGCAACGAGTAAAGGAAGCCATGGTGAATACGAAGGCATACGGAAAGGCAATATCTACACAAAAAGTGGCGACTAGCTGTGTGTGTTGGCTAAAATTCCAAAAATCGTAAAATCCATAACATAATTTCAAACGGTGAAAATAGAAAAAAAAAATTCTATCGTTACAATATACATATGTACATATGTACATACAACAAAAAGCATACATTTTTGAAAGAAATCATAAAATTGCAAATGAAAGTTGCGCAAAGCCTAGAAGTGAAGGTTGTTAGTGCTTCATTTTAGCCGGAGAACGTGCTCTGGATCCGCAGTGTTAGCCACATTTTTTTGTTGGCTGTTTGGTGCTTGGGAGAGTCCTGTTTGTGTATTTATATAATCAATATTCTGTGGCGAATAGAAAGTGTGTCTCATATTGCTTGTATTATATTATTAAGTAAAAGTAATAATTATTCCAAAAGGAAATTAAAAGCCGTGTTGATTCGTGTCACACAACGCATATCCGCAATTTAAAATATTCTAAATTGTTATACTAGTGAAGTGCGTTTGTGTTTGCGTTTGTCGCTCAGCTATCGGTGTTTCTATCGGTGTCAATTTGCCAACGGTGAGTAGTTATCCTTCCTTATTCATTGCGAATTCGCGGAAATCGTTCTATTTTTATACACAGCGGCATAGATGTTGCGCATAGATACATTCACACACACACATGCACACAAACATAGATACTTGTAGTCATATATGTACATATGTGTGAGTTACAGCTAGAACAAAAAACAGAGATAACATATTTTTGGTTGGAAAATATTATTTTATGAGCATTTGCAATCAAGTTCAACATTTGCTTTTAAATTCTGTATATACATACATACATACATACATACATATGTACACATGTATGGAGGTGTGAGGCTCCTAACTCTACTCATTCGTAGAAAGGGTAAATAGTGAAGGTTAAAGATTTTCATAGTTTTGGACAAGGAATTCCAATTCAATTCTTTCATAACCATTTATACCGTGGACAGAGTATTAAGCTTGCAACGTAGTTTGTAACACCCAGCAGGAAGCATCGGAGATCCTACAAAGCGTGACAGTTGAGTCGATTTATCCATTTACGTCTGTCTGACTGTGTATCGGCGGACTATTTCAACTTCAGAGATATCTGTCTGAAATTTGCACAAGTCCTCTGCTTCCCATGGATATGCTTATTTGTCGAAACCGCCGATATCAGGCTACTATAGAATATTTTTGGCTGCCATACAAACAATTTCATCAAAATAAAGGTCTTATAAGAAAATCTTTCTTATTTGCCAAAATATCTTCATGGAATTCAGCAAAAATTATTGGTAACAACCTCCGAATAAACTATTCAGATCGGTCTATTATAACGGGTGATCTAAGTAGCGGTACTTTTTTCAGCAGCTCTTTTTGACAGATCACGTGCGAGTGGTGTCAAGCTGTCATGTTATCTTTATTCAGTATTGTTTCGCATTTCGTCATGGAAATATATGGAATACTTATGAACAACGATCCCAAGTCGTTCAATTTTCTAACGAAAATTCAAATTCTGTAAACAATCTGTTTCGCACGTAGCTGAGAGTGTACACGAAGACCGTGAAGAGGCGATTCGGCGCCGTTCGCAGCAAATGGACTGACGTATGAAACAACTTGGCGCATTCTACGTCGAGATCTTTAATTGAAAGCGTACAAAATACAGCTTGAAAAGCCATGAGCCAGAGATGGGCTCAAAGGGCCAGTGGAATCATCGAACCATATTTCTTCGGTGAAAACGTAACCGACAAAGTTCACGTTTAGGGCCAGTCGATTGGCTACCAAGATCATGTGATAACACACCGTTAGACTTCTTCCTGTTGTGGGAATATGTAAAGTCTAAAGTCTATGCGGATGTCAAAAAATAAATGCTAAAAAATATTCTTTCGAATGAACATTACCGATTAAATTTGAAGTTTCAGTGTTTTTCCTTAAAAAAAGTAGGAAACCTCGAAAGCCCTTTAGCATTGAGCTATTATACAAACTGATCATAAAATATCATTCATCTTGTTAAGTAAACTTAATTCGAACCTCATGGCTGGAAAGAGCAAGAAAAGCGGCTTCTATTATATGCTAATCTTTGGCCAGTTACGTTATCAAATTTATTTATACTCCGATCAAATAATTACATGTGCAATACTTCAACTTTAATTATTTTTAAAAGGAACAATCAAAGAAGTCTAATAAATATTGCATATAAGGTTCTATCGAGCGTATTGTGTGAAAGATAAAAGCCCACCGTCAACAAACTGATTGCACCTTATAAGAGTGGATTTAGGCCTGAAAAATCAACAAGTAGCTAGATATTCGCCATACGCCAAATTTTGGGAAATGTCCGCGAAAAGAGAATTGACACACACCACCTCTTCGCAGATTTCAATCATATTGATATCATTGGCCTTATCATCCACACCGTTAGTTCTGCTTTCTACAGAGTAGATAAGGAAGCAAATCAATATTTCCTGTCATCAAACAAAAAGTCGTCGCACTCGCAAATAGGCTCCCACGTCATTGTTGACAGTCACAACTTCGAAGTCGTAGATTATTTCGTCTATCTTTGAACCAGCATTAACAGCAACAACAATATCAGCCTCGAAATCCAACGCAGTATAACTCTTGCCAACAGGTGCTCCTTTGGACTGAGTAGCCAATTGAAAAGTAAAGTCCTCTCACGACGACCAAAAACCAAACTCTATAAGTCACTCATTATTCCCGTCCTGCTATATGGTGTAGAGATATGGACGATTGCATGCTTCTGATGAGTCTACGTTACGAGTTTTCGAGAGAAAAGTTCCGCGTTGGCCAGGGCGAATATCGCATTCGTTGGAACGAACGTTGTTTAGTCACATTTATACCAAATCTCGCATTTACTTGCTTGCAACTCCTATGACTATTAGTTGGTAGCTGCTGAATGCGCCGTTTGCTCCTGTCATCCATGGTATCTGCACGACCACTCCGCTTAGTAACAATATAGTTATCTGAACTTTTCGGAAACAATTTTGTTGTTTTTTTCGCTGCTTTACAGAAAAAGCAATTTGGTTAACATTTATGCCAAAAGACTCATTCCTTTAACCAATCCACGCTCCTCATCTGATAATGCAGCATCTTCCTTGAAATTCAAATAAAAAAAAACAAAGTTGATTACTGTTTGTAGTCTTAAACACCTACTTATTCACTTATTTTAAAGTGTATAGGTATATATTGTTTCTATTACAAATGCACCTCTGAAGGGTAGTTGTTTTATGCCGGGTCTCAAATAATATTGAGGAATGCTGTCTTCGGTTCAGGCCTTGGAGCAAAACATCACGCGTGCCATTCGTCAGTTACCAGTCAAAATGCTCGAACGAGTCATGGAAAATTGGACTCAACGGACCATCTGAGATGAAGCCGTGGCCTACATTTGAAGGATATAATCTTCAAAAAGTAAATGCCATTCTTTACCAGATATCAGTTTATTTTGGTTATGATCAAACTGCTAAGGTTCCCTGTTTGCAGTACTTGCAGACATTCATGGACTTGTTCAGAAGCCTTTGAAATGGTAAAAAGTGAAAGAAATTCATATTAGGAAAGCCTATTACAATCGAAGAATAAAATAACAAAAATTAAAGAAAACTAAATTATAGATAGATAGATAGATATATTTTTATTTCATGTACAATAAATATACAGGAAACAAGAGAAAAAAAAACAGCACTATCTCGAGGCCATCAGCTGATTCTAAATTAAAATTATCGACGATCTAAGGTCGGAAAGAGGGACGGAAGGGGTTTTAATGAATATTTAAGGGTTTAAAATAGTCTCGATTAAGAATCCTATTTAACACCATTTTTTGATAGTTATAAATTTATGTGAAAAATTTAAATATCCTGATTTTTGGGTTTTTATTTCCATCTTGTACAAAAAAATTCTTTTGCGAAATTTGGTGTAAACATGTCCCAATTAAACTGTAACTTTTTATTCAAAATATTATGTAGAAACCCTAATTTCGACTTAAAATCGAAAAATCTTAGTTTTCAATTAAAAATTCGTACGTAGAAATATCAGACTTTTTGAAGTCAATAGAATTATGTTTGTTGAAATCTCTACTTTCTGATGGGGTATAAGTATGGAAAGTTTTCTCAGACCTCACCAATTTTACCTTTCGTTTTCAATAGGTTTCATACCATTATGATTCTTATGCTTTCAAAAATTACTTACCCATGTCTATTCGAGATTTATTTAATATGACAATGATAATTGAATTTATCGCTTCAAGTATTTAGAATTTTTTACTTCAAATCATGTCTCTCAAAGTTTATCAAGTTGTCTATACGACTTTGCGCGATCGAGATTTTTACCATATGGATTGGTACAGTGAATAGACTTTTTGTACTTCCAGAATTTATCCATGCAATCATATTAGACAAAGTTTGTGGAAGTAACTTAAATAAACACCTGAAAAAGAAATTATCATCTAACCTTAATTACTTTCTTGTTAACCCGGCACCAGAAACCAGAGTTGAAATGTCTGAGGATCATCTTAAAAAAAATGTAGATAGGTACTATAAGTGAAAAAGTGTTGTTCCAAAACTCAAGCATCTTCTAGAACAACCGAGGAAACTCGTCAAATAATAATTAATCTCAGTTGTAGAAAATAATTAGAGGTTGGTGTTTTTACATTTGTCATATGTACTATACAATAAAGAAATGAGATCCATATTAGTTGCAAGACCATATTCCGAAGTTAAATGATTACTTATATTAAACAAAACTATCTAGCAAAATATAATATTATTTTTTACTACTTGTGAAACAATTTGTTTAAAATTACGTTATTACTTTCATTCCAGCAATAATCTATTGAGGAGTGGTATAGATGTATTTATATATACATAAAGGCCAACTTCTCATACGATGCATCCGTCTAGTGAACAAATAAGTAGAAGCCGACAGGATCTGGAAAAATCAATAGAATTATCACTTTCGCATAATGTCTTACCACAAGTACGATCGCATCATGGCAGCGCTGCCAATATATATCAAGATCAAACGGATGATTTTCGAAGAAGGTAATTAAAAATCTATTTTAATTTGTGTAGGAATTTCCGTTTGCTTATAATGTACTAACTACGAAGTGACCTTATCGATTTGTCGCGAATTTATAATTAATGCGAACTTAAACCATTGTGTAGCTTGTTAATATAATACCATAGAGCTAATTCCATGAAATAACTTTAACCGGCAAAACTAGGGTTTGTGTTAAACGTAAGTTCTCTCAAATTAGCGAGCTCCCGTGTTTTCTTCTGGGGTTGTATTCTAGTGAGTTCCACTCTCACCCTGAGTTGGTTCAATGTCCATTCCAACCGTAAATTATTGTGACGAAATCGAGAAATCTGAAGTTTTAGTGGCAAAAGGTATTCCACAAAAAATTGGGCAAATTTGATGAGTTAAAAGTCCTTGTCCAAATATAAGGCCGTAAGATCCGACTGTCGTGGGAATTGTTTACTGCTTATTCACAGGCAACCGCTTCCACTATCTCATGCCATTCAATAACTCAATAATTTTTTATTAGCTGCGGGCCTATTTGGCTTCAGATCTAAAGAAGAGAAATTTAATTCCTGTTCCATGCCACAAAATATTACAACGACTTACTTACATTAATTTGGGTTTGCTGAGCAACGAAAACTACGGTGGTATTAAACTCGTAGGATTGAGTACTGAAATATTTATATGAATTCAGGTTAAATAGCTGGCAAGTGAATTCCATTAAATATCGCTATAAAATAGGCATTTGCCTTAACATCTGGAGGGACTAATAAATGTTTATAAGGCAAAATTTTTGAATCATGTGCACTTGATGACTCTCATAAAACGAAACAAGAACTTGAGTGCATAACAATTTATTTTATCGGGTTAATTATACTATCAAATTCCAATGCAAATCAACGATTAGAACGATTACATATTTTGCGCGTTTTTTGCGTCACGAGTATAAGAGAGTTCAACATGTGACTGAAACTGGAACTTTATTGTTATTGCTGGCAATTGTGTTTGTTATTATAATATCGCGAGACAGCACCAGTAAAATCGTTAATCACTATCACAAAATTTTGAAAAAAGTGACAGAACAACTAAACTAAAATTTTTGAAATTCTAACGTGCTTAATTGATAACGATACCGAACCAGTTTGGATTTTTTTTCATCGCAGGAAAAATGGTTCTATGCGGTGACAGTCACCATTCACTCATAAAATTCATATTATACACACACATATGTGCTTATGTACATCCATATTCAGACTAATGCTTGTGATTGTTTGTAGTACATAGTAAATTGCCTCCGCCAAGCCAAGCAGCTTCAAAAACTGGTTTCACGATCTTAATGAGCATCGATCGCCTGTTAGCCAAATACCCGAACCGCTTGGTGAGCGCAATGCGCAAGAGAATGGTAAAATACCTGCCAGTTTCTCCACCAATACACGAGTACATAGGGATATAGTTGATGTGTTGTATTTACGTATTCTTATAAAGGGTGTGTCATTAACCTCTGTGACAATATTTTTGTTAAATTTTCTTCTAGTATAGTTAGAAGTGTGCACTACCACTAGAATTCGATCAGATGTTGGCAAACATGCGCTTTGATTCAGTTTTTTGAAGAGGGCTTGAAACTTGTAGGCCCTCCACAGCATATATTATTAAAAGCTCCACTAGTCATCTAAATATATGTTTTGTCTGGATACCACGAGAATAACGCAAAACAGTATATTCCGAGTGATACACGATCGTCTCTCTGCCAGTTGTCCTTCAAGAAGTCAGTAAACTCCCGAAGACTTATCACTCTACACCACTACAATGCGAACTCTCATACATCGACTGAAACAATTGCATTTCTGAGTACTTAAAACATCAATTTTAGGAGTCATCACTATATAATCCCGACTTGGGACCGAATGACTTCTTGTATATTTCCAAACGTAAAAGATAAACAAACGGTTAATGTGTTCAGAAGGCATGTTTTGGGGATACCTCAATCAGAGTGGAAAAAGTTGCTTTAAGCGCATGCAACAGTGTCTAGATCTTAATAGAAATTTTTTGGACAACAATAATACGATTTGTGATGACTAAAATTGGTTTTTGTTTTCTATTCCATTGTTCCAATTTTTTTCATTCAAATATAATATAACAAACTTTGTGCCCGGATGAGTGTTTTTGCGAGAAACTCGTCTTCATTTCATTAATATGAAGAAAAGCTCATCCGAAAGTCATCGTTTAGTCGGTTTATGACGAACATACTCTAGGCGAATGCCAAAAGAAATTTGCATGGTATAAAAGTGGTGATTTTGGCTAGAAAGACGAAGAACGTCCTACGAGAACAGAAAACTTTGAAGGTGAGGAACTGGAAGCATTGATGAAAATTGTTGCCAATAAAAGCAGAGCTCGCAGACTTTTGAAGTCACTCAAGTAGTAATTTCGATACGTTTAAAATAAACCATTCAAATTAAAGGATATTGAGTGCTATATGAATTTAAGCCCAGAGGCGTTTTAAGACGACTTTGCATGTCAGAAATGCCTCTTGAACGCTTAAAAATAGTCGTTTTTATAACGGATTGTAACTGGTGGTGAAACATAATACAACCCGTAACGCAAATTATATTATATCCAAATTAATGGCAAAGACGAATATTAATGACGAAAAGGTAATGCTCTGTACTTGATGAAATCAAGAGGACGTGTGTATTATCAGCTTCTAGTACACAGTGAAAGCCTGAAAGAAGAACTCTACCGACCACAACGCATCAAATTGAAGCGAACGATGTTCGCAGAATTCCAAGAATTTCTGTTATGACAACGTCCATGCTGTAAGACTAGGTAAGTACTATTTGAAAAACAGCGGCTGGGAAGATTTGTCTCGCCTGCTTATAGCGCAGACCTTGCCTCTTCTAATTACTAATTTTTCCGGCTGTTGTAAGATGCCCTCACTGTAATACGGTTTACTTCAGAACAGGGTTTCAAAATACAACTTGGTGCTCTGAATCATTATCAACTAACATTGTATAACCAATTAAGATGAAGGCGCTGTTAATCTGCCAAATGGATGCAAATTGACATTTGGTGTTTAAATTTTGATCGATCTTTTTCAATGATTCGAGAGTTTGAGACTCTCTTTCTGGTCTTCGAAACACGCCCCACGAATTAGATTATACATATGAATATCAAATTACAACAGTTTCAAAAGGATTGCGGTTAAAAATATTTTTGAGAAGGGTTGCCACCCGCAAAAACAAATAACAAAAATTATAAGGAACTATCACAAAGGAAATTAATTTAAAAAGCTTCATGGTACAAAATATTTCTGAAAATTGTTGCCGCCTGCTAAAACAAATTATATAGACTTTATAATTTAAACGACATACATATTACAAAATAGACAACAAACTAAAGTAATTTAAAAAGGTTTACATTAAACGAATCGAGTTATTACTAAAACGTTCTATAAAATTAAACATTGATATCAATCAAAAGTACTTAAAGAACGCTTACAATTAAACATACATACATGCAATATTTGTGCAATATGGTCACCAAACTAAAGTAGAAGTCATACAGTTAAACCATGTTTTAGAAGTAAAATATTATGAAACTGATATGAAACTCGGGAGATATATGAATCAGTTGGACGAATGTTTGATAGTGGTTACCTCTCAATATTATTTGAAGAATGTGTTCAAAGGTTTGTATCATTCCCGATTGGATTAACAGCCATAACATTCCAAATATATAATGATTTCAAACTACATTCGAGGCCGTAAGCATAATGGATTACTTATATATTTTACCATAAGCTACCTAATGAGCCACCTTGTATAAGCATTACTTCAAGTCAGACCATAACCAGACACCGAGTTAGCTTCAGTGCGAAATTCATAACCGTCAACACCAAACCCAAGAGAAATGAAAATAACACCAGCGCAAAAATAAAACAACAAGCAACAAAGCTATAACACAATTATCGCATATTCATCTACAATCAGCAAAGCGGTGAGAAAAAAAAATCGCACTGTGTGCGCATACGGTGCCGCGAACACCGAATCTCCACAACGAAAATCAGTTGACGAACTTCAATCGTAACGGTGAGTTCCATTGCTGCGAATACCGTCCAGCGCCGTCGTTGGAAAAGTTGCGCGTGCGGTTTAACTGTGAGCGTGAGTGAGAAGGAAATAAATCGGAAACCAATTGATGTATTATTTTTAAGTGATAACATGAGCTAACAACTAAATTGCAAATATTCGAAAATATCAAGCCGAAAATCGAAACGCCAAGAGTCAAACCAGCTACGCACGTGTGTGTGCTGTAGTTAATAAAATTAATGTGGGAATGTAAATCCCTCTTTATTTGTATGTTTATGCATGTGTGTAGTACATAAGCGCACCTGTGTGAACGGAATACCAATACATTTATATATTTTTTACCTTGACGTCACGGCTCTTTTTATAAGCAGCCAGCAGTCGCGAACGTAACGACTGTGTATTGGCCATGCTCCCGCTCAACCGAAACGCTAAACATATCTTAGATACGTCTAGATAATAACGCGACAACCCGGGCTCCCAACGCGTGGCGGAGAGTGTACGCGGCGCTGATACCAACAACATAACACAGAGGCACATTAACAAAAGTGCCTGGTAAAAAACTAAAGCAGTAGAAAAAACAACAACAAACGGCTCACAGCGCGGAATTGTGCGAATACACAAGTATGTATGTGCATGCGTGTATAACAAAAGCAATGCAAGCACACATAAACATAAATAAAATTTGTATGCACGTATGAATGTGCGTGCGTGTTTCGTAAAAAGAATGCTGGGTAAAAAATAAAGCAATTTTGTTACAAATAAAATATTTACAACAACAACTGTTCGCTGAAAAAAAAATTAAAAATAAATAGCCAAATAAATAAAATTATATTTCGCGTACACAATCAGCAACAACAACGAAATTTCGAAAGTGTACACAAGCAAAAAAGTACAAATATTTTTAAGCAGAAACATGCAAGTGTATGTATGTACGTATGTAC